TAAGAATACACATAACAACCTGTATAATGCAATTTTTTTAAACATGTGTTAATATCGTACCAAATTGGAAGTCGACGCACAAATTTAAAAACATTAATTTCAAGTTTTTGAATTCTCCCATTCCAAGGTGATATAAAATAAATAATTAATTATGTAAATTCATAGTTTTAATTTTAACTTGATTTATTTTATTTAACATTTAAGGCAAATGTGATTTCCAAACAAAAGATAAGTTCCATATCCCTTTTAAATTTATTTGGCAGTTATTATTTGGCAACAAAGCCACTGCTAGAACTGCCGCCTATTATTAAGTAGAAGAGTTACCACGCTAAATTTTATTGCTGGATGCCGGCTAACAAAAGCCTGCATCCTTTTCGGGTTGCCAATTTCCAGCATTTAACACGCAATCTGTGGCAATAAGCTATATTGTCTGTGGTTACATTCTTCTACTCAATACCTATTGATACAAAGCATTGCTGGCAGAGAGCAACGTACCAATCTACAGATACTATGAAAACATGGCTAATGTCACACTAGACGAAATATAGTTTTTAATATATATATATATATATAGTTTTTTAACAGTTGACATTGAGTAACAATGGAAATTAAAGGGTAACGCCACTCTTGAAGATGGAAAAAAAGGTGATTTTCGGGAATTTTGAAGAAAAAATCGATATAAGATACAGTGTCAGGAACAAAAAGGCTTTATTGTACATGTTTTTAGGTAGTATTGTGATTTTTTTCAAACGATTTGGACTTGAAATGGTGACAGTCAGTGACAGCAAGCAATGACACCTTTTCTTCAGAGAGTTGTATGGCCGGAAAAGTTTTTTATTAACGGACTGTCTTGGAACAAATACACAAAAATTTTCTGATATATACTAAAAGCTAGGGAACATCGTAGGAAATTAATATAATAATTGTTGATTTAGTGAACATTCAAAGAAAAGTATCAAAAAGAGACGAAAAATGCATTAAATTGTTAATTACAAGGAAAATTGTTAATCAATTAAAAAACTACGATGTTCCTTGAGTTATATTATTTTGAAGCTCTGTACAAAATTCCAAGTCGATTGTAGTCCAATTAACTAAGCCTTTAAATCGAAATTTTGCCAACTTGGCTGAATTTTTGATATGAGTTAGTTTAAGGTATATTATAACAATAAGTGAGAGTAATTTTTTGTTCAACCCCCGGCCAAGGGTGGAAAAAGATAAAACAAAGGGCTTTTTCAAGATAACTCAAAAAGGGTAAGAGCTAGAAAAAAAAGTTTTTCATGAAAGTTGTAAAGCAGACAATTCTACATAAAAATGGCCTCTTAACTTTTTCTTGTACTATTACAATTAACAGAGTTAGGGAGGCTAGAAGTTAAGGGAAGATTTCAGAAATTTAAAAAAAATCATAACAAACAGAAAAATGATTGAATTTTGTAATTTTTTTTTTCAATCTGCTCTAAAATATGTAACTTTTCTTTTCAGAGAAATAGATATATTTTTTAATTTTTAATAAGAAAGTTATAACAAAAAATCAAATTTTTAATCGTTAATTTTAATGATTTAACAAAATTAAATTTCTGAAATCTTCCCTTAACTTCTAGCCTCCCTAACTCTGTTAATTTTAATAGTACAAGAAAAAGCTAAGAGACCATTTTTATGTAGAATTGTCTGCTTTACAACTTTCATGAAAAACTTTTTTTTCTAGCTCTTACCCTTTTTGAGTTATCTTGAAAAAGCCCTTTGTTTCATCTTTTTCCACCCTTGGCCGGGAGTTGAACAAAAAATTACTACCACTTGTTATAATATACCTTAAACTAACTCATATCAAAAATTCAGCCAAGTTGACAAAATTTCGATTTAAAGGCTTAGTTAATTGGACTATTGTTTGAAAACTTTTTGAGTTATGTTTCCGGCCAGTAAAAAAAAAGTGGTTTCTCGAAAAATCGGTATATATGTCTGATGATTCTGGTTAATTTGAATTGTTCCAGAGATATCTGAAAAATGGATAATTCTCAGGAACTCACTTGTAGGTGGTTGTAATACTCTTAGAAGGTATTTCTCCTGTTGTTTTAGCCATTGGGTTGATATTACAAGTTTAACTATGGGAACACCTCAGGGTGTGTGTTCAGATGAATATCACTAATAATTCTTATTTAGAATAAATTTAAATTCTAACAAACATTATGTACTCATATCTCTAATATCTATACATATTTTAATGAACAATTAATTGATACTAAAAGACCGTTAGTCACTTAGCACTATACAGGGTGTATCTTAAGTGGATAAATCCCATGTATTTTTAAAGTAAGTTTCGTTTCTGTCGTTTTTGTCTGATTGTGTGCGAGAGAGATAGAGTTATAGTGTGCGATAGAGATAGAGTGACTTTGTCCTCACAGAGAGCTTTTCTCTCTCTCTCTCTCTCTCTGCTGTCTTCAGGAGTATCTGGGGCTTCCCCAGCATCTTCAGAACAGCTAGGGAGGGAGCGTGGACTAGAGCGCGTGGCCTTTTTAGCCTTGGTCATCGAGCTATGACGTCACAACATATGAGATAAACGATTTTTGCCCGTAACTCGGAAATAGCTGAAAATATAAACAAATCTCCCCTTGGTTCTGAGTAGAGCACTCGGTGGGTGAGACAGAGTGGGGTGTCACAATATAAGAAAGAAAAAAAAACAGTATTTACTTGTACTTCGGAAATACTCGAAATATCAAAAAATCTCCCATGATTGGTGATCGAGTGAAAAACGTCCAAAGTCCGCATGTCTAAAAAAAAATTGGGACCAACGGCGTGTGACATCATAGAATAAAAAAGTGTTTATAACTCGGAAACGGTGCGCTGAATCGAAAAAATCTCCCGACACCCCTGGTCCTGATTGTCCCTTCAGCATTGAACACAAAAGGTCCGAAGTCCTTATGTGGAAAATAAATTTCGGAAACAAAAGGTGTGTGAGGTGATACAAAAAAATCTTATATCTCGGAAACGGTGCATTGAATCGAAAAAATAATTAAAAAAATCTCCCCGGAGCCCTGGTTCTGATTGTCCGTTTTGCGTTGAATGGAAAAGGTCCGAAGTCCGTATGTCGAAAAACAAAAAAAGTTAGTCAAAAATTGCAACAGCAGTAGCGAACGCATTATCTTAAAGTATCATTGATTGGTGATTTGTTGTTTTTATATTTAATAAATTTCGTAATCAACTACTCCTTGAGGTTGAAGCAATTTTACATTGTGTTAATTTTTTAACACTTTGTGTCACAAATATGAGCACTACCAATGGCATCCATGATATGCAACACTTGTGTCAATAATTGTTTTACCTATCTAATGAAATCAACAATAAGAGAGCAGTACCCATCTAAGAATACACATAACAACCTGTATAATGCAATTTTTTTAAACATGTGTTAATATCGTACCAAATTGGAAGTCGACGCACAAATTTAAAAACATTAATTTCAAGTTTTTGAATTCTCCCATTCCAAGGTGATATAAAATAAATAATTAATTAGGTAAATTCATAGTTTTAATTTTAACTTGATTTATTTTATTTAACATTTAAGGCAAATGTGATTTCCAANGATGGATAGGTCGGGGAGGACCTCAGCCGTGGCCAGCACGATCTCCAGACCTAAATCCTCTGGACTATTTCTTTTGGGGACATCTGAAGTCGCTTGTTTATGCAACGCCAGTTGTAGATGAAAATGATTTAAGAAACAGAATTGTAAATTCTTCTTCTTGTAATTCTTGTGTGCGACAGTCGATGAGCAGAAGATTACATGCTTATATTGACAGCGGCGGTTCTCATTTTGAGCATTTGATTTAATTCAATTTTTATGATATTTCCAGCTCAAGTAAGTTTAAATGCGTTTTTCATGGTAACGGTTGCTCCTAGCTACTTCATTATTGGCGCCCTCAAAAAAATTCACCTAAATTGACCACAGCTTTGAATTTGTCATTCCAAAAAGCCCCCGTGTATGAAATTTCATTAAATTATTTCGAATCAGTCGAAAGATATTTAAGAAAATGCGATTTATTTTCCCAACTTTGACACCCTGTATCTCGGTAACGAAGCACTTGCGGACCGATGTTCATATGCACTTTTTTGCTTAAAATATGACAAGGAATCACCCCTTGAAATTAAAGTCATCACTTAAGATACACCCTGTATACCAATAATTCTTTAAATATGATATATAATCTTTTTTACTCGTGAGATCAAAAAGTATGACCGTTTTCCTGTAGAAGATTTACAATTAGATTTAAATAAACAAAGATGGCATTCTTTTTTTTTAGATAAATGGAATTTAGAGGACTATTTGGATTGTATTATATTCAATATACCAGATCTTATAATTCATTGCGTCATAATGCAATGGGTGACCTTTCTTTGCCTTCTTCGCTTGCAGTTCAAATCACTCAATGAAGTGTTGCTGAAGTTAAAATCAATCTATTTTAGATTTGTCGAAAAGGACTGCAGAATCAGGAACAGAAACCTGCGTATTCTTTACAGGAATGGATCAAGTAGTATAATTCAAAATATTTCCCAGATATTCAATATTTTGCACAACCAAGCCAGTCAAATTAATAAGGCATTTATATGGCAATTATTGGTTATTAGTAAGTATTGATAAAGGTACAATTTTTTTTTTTCGTTCAAAGAAGAACATTGTTGGAACCCATTTATTATTTTTTTTTATTGTTATTATTTTAATATTTCTGCTTACCCTCTAAAGCAACATAGTCTAGTTTTTGAGAAGATTTTTGCATTCCATTCTGTTCGTACCTAAGAAATTGTCTTCCCAATACACACTAAAATTCCTAATTACTATTTTTTTAATAACGTAAAATTACTTTGCAGTACCTTGGTTGTTTATTGCGGCAATAAATAACTCATTCATAATTTGCCAAATGATAAAGCACACTCGTAACTTCAATGTAAGGCATCTTATCTTGGGCGGATTACATGTTCTATCATTTTTGGAAATAGTACTGCCTTGTGTAATGATTAGAGACGAGACAAACAAAATGATTGATATACTACATGTAATCTACATGAATCAAGACACGGATTCAGACCTTAGTGAAGTGGTAAGTCATTAACATTAATGAGTATTATGATTCTATTAAAAAATCAAATTGTATAAATGCAATCTCAGAGAGAATATTTAAGGGGTACCTAAATGGAAGTGCGAAAACTGGAATTTTTAACAAGTAGAATAATTTTTTTATTGCTTTGCTCTGTACACAAATGTACACAAATCCCTATACACGGGATGTAAAATTCGTCATACAATTTAAAAGGGTGATGCATGGTAAAATAACTGTAGCTAGTAAGAAATCTTTAACCTACATATTTTCAGAATAATCGCAAAAAAAGATTTAAAATTTTAACATTCAACATCCTGTATTTCCGAAACTATCAACTTTCGGATAACGCATGTTCGCGCCAATGGTTAAATGGTTGTTAATTAATCACCCTGTATATATCGTTATGACCAGTATGATAACGAGTTTGGATTTCAAAAGAGTTTACTATTCAATTCTCGAAAGGGAGTTTATAATTATCATTATACTTTAATTAATACGTGGGAACTTAGAAATATTGTATGTTCAGAGAATGAATACCAGACACTTACCATATGTGGCTCATGTACAAGGTAATCCAGTGGTTGGTTTGGTTGGTTTGGTTAGTTGTATAGGGTGACACTTAAGTTGGAAGAACAAGAAAGAAACACCAAAACTTCCAGGAAGGGTTTAAATAACAATAAAAACAGAACAAACAAACAAAATAACGACACAACGGGCTCGAACAACATTATTAATTAATTTATTTACACGCGACAGAGCGTACCGAGATTCAGGGAATGCGCGATCCATAGCAAAATTTGGAATGACTTTATCCATTATTAAATTAACCCGAGACTCTAAAACTAAGTAGACTGTTCAATGTGAAACCCAAGGAAGAACTGCTTTCTTCGGAGATCTCTCCTGAATTCGACACCTCACTTCGACACGCCTATTTCTTGGGTCCAGACGTTTCTGTTCTGATCTTACTGGCGGGAACCCTGAATATCGGGATGCTTTGGCATAACTATGCTATGCCATGTTAATAGTTGTCTAATGGACTGAATTTACATTTGTCTAAATAATTTTGAGACTAAACTTACAAACAACCCTATACCTTCCTCTTGTGACTCCGCATAGCAATACGGGACGGATTAGTCCATCTCATGTAATCTATTCTTATAGCTTGGAAAATCCTCCTAAAAACCAGCTATTTGATCTATTATTCTTTTCCAATTATTATCAATTTAACAACTTATTTAGATATCTTGGAACTCCTACGTGTTCTTTCGAATGCATTTCGCGCGTTATTAGAAATATCGATTTTCCTGTTTATACCAGATGCTCAAAACATGGCCCCGACAGTCTAAGTTAAATTGTTAAAAAATATTGCTAAATTTCTCCGAAGGAGAACGCTAAACCTACTTGAGTGCGCTTAACTTTCGATAATTTGTGTTGTCTGAAATATTTTACTTTTTGGCCCATCCGTTCCGAGAACTAACAAATAAATTAGAATTACCACGCGTCCCGGCTTTTGTTACAGAGTGCCGGTAGGAAGCTTGGTTCAGCGTGGAACTAACTGAGAGCGTTAGAACTCAAGGTTTGGGTATTTTTTATAGAGAAATAATAACTCGAGAATAAGGTAGACATTTATCATTAATTTGAATACTGTTTGATAGAACAGAATGCTATGAATGCGAATTTTTTTAGGACGGCGAGTGCTATACCCTTATCAGGTACTGTGGCCTGGTTGAGAGACTGCAATTGCCACGGGTGCGCGTTCAATCGCCAGCAGGGTGGATCGCAGTAGAACGGCTGCTGTTGCATGGTCTGATTCACCGACACCTCGTTTCGGCTCGCTACGTTTGCATCTTTGCCTAGTCTGGTCGCTCGGTTGTAGTTGGTCATCTGAAATTAAATAGATTTAATTCCGATCTGGAGGTCCTGTGAGAAACGGCTTTGGTGTCGATCTATCCTCTTGAAAATTTCAAAAGTGGGGTGAAATTTTTTATTTCTCTCGTGTCTTGTCAGTGGTCTTCTCCGGTGACACGGGGATAGCTACGCTTGCTCTATGTTGTCCTGGTGGCTCGACGGTAGAGATTTGGAAAGGTCGGTGAATTTATCGGAAAGATCGGTGATTTTTACAATTTTGGAAAGGTCCTCCAACATTCTTTTACGGCTTGCAGAGCTGCTTTGGTGTATTTGTAGTCTGCCTTTGATACATTTGTATGAGAAATATGGGTTTCGAGCGTTTTGGTAGCTGGCTTCGAAACATCGGTGAATTTTGAAGTAAATTTCCTTACTAATTACCACTCTTTTGCCATGTTCGATCATCCCTATAAGTATAATGCATTTTAGGAACACCCTGTATATGCAGTTCGCTAACACTTTTCTTCAGCAGTTCCATATGTTACTACCACGTCTATTAATTCAGTGTTACTGTATTTATTAACACACACCAGGCAAAAGAAAAGATTCAGAAAAATAATTAACTTATACACTTGTTGATTAATAATAATTTTGCTTGAAACTTGAAACATAATAAATAACATCACTGAAAATAGATATAGGAGTAACTAGTAAAGAGTAAAATATTATGACTAGGTACATTAAATTGTTTTTATAACTGTGGGGATATGTTACTCTAGAAGTAGTGCGTAATAAAAGAAATAAATATTATTACGAGAATTTGAAAACTCCTGTTGTTATTTTAAATATATATTTTTTAATAATTTTCTTACTCATTGGTAACATTGAATAAAATAGAAAAAAATATATTTTAGGTTAACGCTTTGATTCTGCAAACTCACCACCAAATAATAGAATTCAGTTTATTTGGTGCCTTGCACCTGGATGGAAACCTAATATACTCGGTATGAAGAACATCGAAATATATGGAATCTGTTTGTAATAAGATATTAATTTTAGATATTTGGAGCTTTAACTACATATTTAATAATTCTGCTACAATTCGACATTAATTATTAATTTATATAGGTAAGTATCATCCCTAAATTCAGAGCCGTGTTGTACTATATTTCAGTTGGTATTTTTAAGTATAGTTTCATGTTATAATATACTGTTTTATACAGAGTGTAACTTTGAGTGGGAGTCATATTTATACAGAGGCTACCTTTCATCTTTAGAAACACGTATCAATAGTTAATTTTTTCAAATTCCGGATGAAATTATTTTTTAATTTTTTTAGTAACAAAAGCTATTGTGATCTCAAACAACGGCACACTTAGTCGCAACGCATACACAATTGGGAACTGGTGTTGTTGTCAAATCATACTTAAGGAGGTTTATCTAATTTGGAATTGACAGACAAATATTCATAAAAAAATTTATATAAGCTTATTGATATGAAGAAAATCCTCAAACAAAATTATAACTAGTTTGGATACCTAAGAGACGAGATATATTAAAAAAATAATTTTTCACGATTTAGTATGAAGTCTTATGAGAATGCAGATTTTTTTGGTATTTCCACTTAGAATGCGCAACAATTGACGAACAGTTTCCACAGCAACTTGTATAAATAGGAAACCGATATCTAAGAAACCGTATGATAGCTCGTAGAAATCGATTAGGTACTTTTAAGATACATAATTTATAATAATTCTCCTTCAAACTGCTGTCGTTGACTAACTTATCTTCCATATGCGTGATAGCGTCAACGCCGCAGTCTCGACGTAGCGTATTATTTGAAATTTGCAGGTGTCCAAGCAAACAGAATCATCGAACGCGAGCGAGCCAGCCAAGTGCAACGTTGACAAATCTAAAGGCTTAGTACTTTAGTCCCTAGTGAATCTACAGAAACTCTCGTTAGACTTTAGATGTATAGTTTTTCCGAAGTCAATTGAAGAACCTATAATTTCAAGGTATGTACCAGGCTCGGTCGCTAAGCAGCAACTCGGCATTGAAATATTTGAAAAAATTGTTCCCATATTTATTTATTATTTAGCCATATTCATATATAGGTCTGGTCGAACTAAACGTGCAGGTGGTAGAAATGTATACGACCAGTTGAAGAATGCGAGCGCGGGCAAACGAAATGTAACACAACTGTATTGGACTTCTGACAATAAATCACGGCAGGCGACAAGTGGATCATATATTGCCCAGCAGTGCAGTGCTGCAGTGAGGATTTTGGTGTGAATCAGGCAATTTTAATTTATTATAGGTACCTCTTATCAATCATTCATATTACAACTGTGAAAGGGAGAAATAAGAGGGATATCTTGTTTACTAATATTATCACAATATGGCATTTTGGAGACCTTTTGAAACGGAACAAAACAAAATTTACCACCAATATAATAAAATTGTTACAAATTATTATAATTTTTTACCTTTGGCAGAAATTTTTTTTAGGGACGCTTGTGAAACTAATAAAATTTTATTACTAGACGTTTTTTTGAATATTCAACTGACTTCGGAAGGACTATACCTCCGTACAGTTGTGAATCTAGTTAATTATACTGCAGCTGTTTAATGAGAGAGAATATCGGAAATTTGTCGTTTTAGGCTTTGGCAATTCGTTTTTACAGTTATTAATATTAAACAGAAATATTTTATGCCAAGGACAAATAAAAAGTAAAAAATTTTAAAAAATAAATTTCAATGCTAATTTTGTTATTATCCTCTATGCAAGAGCAAATTCGAATCGGTGACAAGTTTTATCAAGATCAACAGGTCAATATAAGATATTGGAGGAGGGTTATATACAAGGGTGAACAAAATAAAGAAACAAACGATTGAACTAGCAAACTATAGATTTGAACATAGGCGTGCGTATAAATAAAGCGAGGGGGGGGGGGTACTACATTTCCCCTTTGCTACGTTCGCCCCTCAAATTGTTTCTCATTTAAAATACATGGAAAATGTGCCAGCGTCATAATCTAAAGTCTATCCAAAATTTCAATAATGCCTTGACAACAAAGGAATAATCAATAAAAATAACTTGGTGCATTATAACATTAGCCAGATTTTACTCCTAAAGAATTTGCGGTGAACTCACATGGGTAACATTTTTAACACCCTGTATATTAACTATAGAATTGCCTCACCCATATAGCATGTGATGTTCATGCATAACCGTTTTTTGTCTGTTCTTCGTCCTGGGGAACATGGATCTGTTTTGAATACTCATCTATAAGCTAAAACGAACGTCCCCTGTTTGCATGTCCATAAATTAATTTATTTATTTATTTATAAAATACCGACAAATGTCAACTTAATTGACAACTTTATTTCGAAGAAGTGCTTGTAAAATATTTAATCCATTTTACATCTAATGTGAAAAATTTTGCCGAAAATTGAAAGTCACCTCGTAGCTCAAAACGAACTCTGAAAACTGCCCTAATTAATACAACTACCCCAATTACACACCCTTATCTAGATATCAACACACTGTACCTAGTCACTGTTACAAATTTTCCTTTTTATTTGCATTTGAAAACTAAGTATTGATTTCTTCTCCTATACACAAATTCACCTCCTACCCTACACGCCTTTTAAAACTTAATTTTCACACCAAGTTCACATAAACATTGACACAGTCTTTTGAAAATAGCAGAAATGTAGATGTTCAACATTTTCATTCCCATTGGAATTGTCGGACTACTTCTATTCAACACAGAAAGATCCAACCTACACAACAACATCCAAATCGCTCCAATCGGACCGATAGACCGAGCGGTCACAACTAAATATCCACTACAGTTTGAAAATGTATGATCCCCGAAACACTGTCAGATTCTACATGTCTTCCTAACATCTAACATTACACTATCGATTCCTTAAACATGTCCAATGTTAATATTGTTTGGCGGTACATTAGGATGACTATATCTTAACAGGCTTTGACCTTTGCATATAAGTAAATAGGATTACTTCTACACTGTCCCTCAAACACTTCAGGAACTGATTACCTGTGGTCAGTGTGCTTGCAACTTTTCTGAGACACCGTGTAGATTTTTATGTCTGCTTTGGTCCATAAATCGGAACTGACGATTCGGTGATTATTTTTTTAGATATTTCAAGAAAATGGAACGCGAAGTTGGGTAAAGCATAGTATTGCAAATATAAAATAAAAACATTGTCATTGATCATTCAAGCATACTATAAATTTATTACACACACAAAAAGAAAGTCTCTAGGATATGAAACCGTAGGTTCTTAGCTAAGAGTATTGATTGTCTGGTCAAAGCTTAGTCATACTTTCTACTGCAATTGAGACCAGAACGGACGCGATATGACCAAGAAACTGTTAGTTTTTTTTTACATAAAAATATGCCTATAAAAGCGTTACGTCAGTCAAATCATTTAACTGCAATACATTTTATACGCTATTCTAAGTTGTTCTAGTTTGAAAGTGGCAAAGAATTAAAAATGAATTTTACAAAAACTGTAAGTATTTAGTAAATTACTTTTGCGTAAATATATTGAAATAAAACTGAAATGTAAGGGAGAAAATATGTGATACTTAGTATATTTTACCGGGACGGATTTAGAATAATAAACTATTTTTAAATATGTGTATATCTTATGACAATAAAGGAATTGTAGAAACGCTCTTGAAAATGTATTATACAGTGAGCGGCAAAAGTATGGAATATATTTATTTAAAAATCAGATGTTCGTTATTTGAAAAATCGCTCAGACCCGTCGAATTATATTTTTAGGTGCGCATTTTTTGAAGCAATTTTCATTTATACAGGGTGGCCCAAAAAAAAGTTATGGAAACAAGGCCAACTTTTTTAAATGGAAACCCCACTTTTGTGTATTTTTATTCAATTCTCCATGGAATTCTGATCATTTTTTATGTAACATAACCTATATATAACCGTTTCCGAGATAATGGCGTCTGAATATAGAATATGGAAAATTTTCAAAAATTACTCTCGATACGTAAGGACTGTAACGTCAAAATCAGTGGGAACTGGTGTACTTTCTGCTAAATACATTTTGTGTTTTTCAAATATTTAAGCACAGTTAATGAATTTAGTTCTTAATTTTAATTTGTTTGGTACAAACTGACAAAGCCAGAACACAGCAAGAATAATGTGAAATATTCAATAACAAATATCCAAATCATACAATCATTCAAGCTACTGTAAGAAAAATTTGCAGAAAATTCAGAATTATAAACTAATTCAAACACAGTTAAATTAAATGTTCAAATTGTCATCCATGAGTTTCTTGACAATACCCAGGTCTATGTACAGGCTGGTCCATTTTCGATGGGATTTCAGGGTATCTCAGAAACTACTAAAGATATAATAAATCTGACACCACGTTCTCGATCTCGATTTTCATGGCAAACTCGACTGTCAGATCAGAAATTTGCTATCTCCATTTGTTTCTGAGTTACAGGGCATTTCTCGTTATTGTGACACTTTTGAACATGTCTGCATTACCAGCAGCTAAACTGTAATAATAATGCATATCCCGCAACTCCACGTTAGAGTAATTGTTGTTAATTTTTATTATTATTTTTATGATAACAATTACTACAAAAGAACTTGTACAAAAAAACTATCTGCCAAAACTAATTATCCACTAAATTGTTTCCAAGACAACAAAGCGCTTGTTTCCAAAGCATGCTATGTTTAATGTAGAAAATAAATTAAAATGATTTCGTATTCATCACATGCAAGCCATGTTATTTTAGCGTTTTTCTCGAAAACGGTTAGATTTATCGAAACAAATAGAGTATACCGTTTTTATGTCAAAAGGTTACGAGAACAAAAATATTCAGTCAAAAGCCGCATAAAGTGTAGCACAAAAAAGTTGGAACCATTCAAATAAAAATAAATGCTCATATGTGGCGCCCTCTACAAAATGCGAAAAAACGGTGGGCAAATTTATAATCCTCATCCCGAAAAACCCCCATATACGAAATTTCGTCAAAATATTATGAGTGTGGCAAAAGGTATTGCAAAAAAACTGCAAATAAAATTTAAATTTAACACCCTGTAACT